CCAGGCCAAGCGATGGGGGAAAGCCGGGCACACACTACTTGCCCTCCTTCCTATCCCCCCGTCTGCAATGTCTACCGTGGAGAAGGGGATGCTCTTCCAGCGTTGCGTCATCACCGTGCTGCAGCCGCTTCTTGATGGCATCGCCAGGTCCGTACTCGGTTTGCATCTTGCTAAGACATCACCTCACCACCTGCATGGTATGCAAACCCTCTCTGTATATAGCATGGCCCTTTGCCCCACGTCGTTCCTCCCTAAAAGCCGTAACCCGAATTCCTGTTGCCCCTCTACCTATTCCTTGCAGCGGGTTCCATCTCAGGGACCCTTTCGGTGATTGGCAAACCGTGCGGCCCCTGCTGTACGCCTGGGTGTGCGACTACCCCGAGAGCGGCAAGATCAGTTGCACACTCTCGCATGGATCACGGATGCCGTGCAGCATCTGCTATGCTGCAAAGGTGAGGTCACATGCCATCTGCACGCATTCAAATACATTCTCGTTTGTGGGTCGCCTGATAGAACCCACATAGCTACCACCCTTACCTTTTCTATCCCATCCCTCACCCCCGTGCTACAACAGGAGCATCTGAGTGCTGTCAAGGCACGGAACACGCCGCGCACGCCTGAACAGCAGCAATGGATCGTTAACGAGGCGGCTGGGATGACAACTAGCTAGGCTGACCCGTGCAAGGCCTACTCTACCTACCCTGTTGAGGTGAGTGACCTGTTTCCCCGGCCCATGAGTAGTCTATGCTCTTGCCCGCCCCGTCATGAATTGCCAGATGTGCTCTGCCCCATTGAACTCACCCCACTTGTGGTTTAGGTTAGCTATCCACTCTCACGTACATCTCTCCTCCATTCCCCACCACATCCCCATTTCTAGTGCGTGCTCTGGAAGTGGGATGTCCCAGGGACCGCGTGGGGCAATCCCTACCTCGTGGTGATGCGTGACATCATGCACCAGGCGGACCTGGGCATCATGAGCCACATTGTGGCTGTCGTGCGCAAAATGAAGAAGCGGCTTGTGAAGCAGATGGACAGGTCAGTGTTTTGGGGATTGGATTCGTTGCTCTTCGTCACATTTACTCAAACCATAAGTTTTGTCCTATTACTGACATGTTTCTGCCCTTTTGCCACCGCTGAACTGATGTGTATGGGCAGGCGCCTGTCTCTCATTCGCGACCGCACGCGCCTGAATCACATGCGCCTACCGGAGAGCGCCTACTTCAAGACCGGAGCATGTGTGGGGGCCTATGAGCACAGGGCCGTCATGCAGGTATGAACCCTCCATTCCCTGTTGCTTGTCCTGGCCTAAACCCTCAAGCAGTCTACTCATGCTGCCATTGTTTGTCCCAACTCCTCACACCATCTGTGCTCACCCTCCCCTTTGCTGCTATCCACATTCTTTGCATGTCATGGTGTTTGTTTTTGCAGGCCTGCTTTGCCAGCCCCAGATGGATGCCGTTCGTGCCTATCTTGGCTGGTACATCCTGTGCTCCCAGCCTCAGGGACACAATGAGCGGTCCCTCCGGGAGCTGAAGAATATGACCTCTCGGTAATAATACCACGCATGTAAACCCCCGTGCATGGGATGAATGCTTGGCTACTGTAAATGTGCTCTTGTAGTAGGCAATCTTGTGAGAATGTTTGGTGCTAAACTTTGATAGGAAAGGATCAAGAATAGGAAAACCATATGAATAAGTAGACTCTGTGATTGCATGTGTTGTCATCTCCCACTCCCATCAGGCTCGTTGAGCAGTTGCAGGCTGCGTTTCTAAAGCAGCCATCCTCTTGGTGCCTTGTGAAAACACATCTCATGTCGCACTACGTTGACTCCATACGTCGCGCGGGTCATGTGACTGAATTCAGCACCAACATGTTCGAGCACTTGCACGGACCGTTGGTAAAGAGGATCTACCGTCGGTCCAACAAGCGCAATGTAGATGGGCAGATCATGAAGTTCCATGCTAGGCGCATTCCGGATGTGGTGCCGGTGGATGATCCTGCTGGCCAGGACACCGCCATGCATTAGGTAAATCTGTTTAGTGCTTGAATTGCATGGATATGAATGCAGAATGTAATAATATCAATAGCATATGTTGGCAGGCGATTGAGACCGACACACGGACGCTCATCAAGGAGTCATACTTCCTCCCTGTGGAGTTACCACAATAACCCACCTCCACCAACTGGTTTGCAAGGAAGTGGGCCAAGCAACACCCTCGTGCCCAAGCTGCCCTCAAGGATGCGCTTATGCGTTATGCAGGATGCGGAGAGGATACAGCAACAGGATGCCTTCGCCTCAAGTGGACGACAGGAATGTACGCGTACTCCGTGATTCCGATTGAAGCGCTGCTCCGCCACGTCCATGTGGTGAAGGCATTCCACCTGGACAGTACCTATCTCTTTAATAAGTATCAGATGTGATGCATTTATCTTGTAATAAAATGACCAGCATATTTTCAAGCAGACACATTTTAAGGAAGTCAAAGCTTAAAAAACCAATTACAAACTCACAACAAATTTGGCACGCTTCAAATAAACGGCAATGTACCGGAGTCGCGAATTCGATCTAGACTTCGACAAACAAACGCGGTCCAATTTCATTCCATGATTGGTCGCGATTTGGATTTGGAACTTCGCCAACCAAAACACCCGAACTGTACCCCCCTTCGAACCCCCTTCAAAAACCAAGGTTTTTTTTAATGTAGTGCTAGACTAGTGGTAGCTACAGCTCCTACACAAAGACCCTCAGAGGCGCCTAGACTGGAAACAACACACGCACCAAGACTGGAAACACATGTCTCTACTCGTGCAGCCGGGAAAGGTCCTAGACCAGGTAGGTGAGACTCAACTAGTGCAGCAGTGCGCTGGCGAAGTCACGAGGGCCAGTGCGGTGTAATAGCGTGAGGACCAAAACGCTCACGGTGGAGGTTGTCGAGTCAACGATAGCAGCTGGACGCAGAGTGATCAGGACTCCAGCAGGTAGTGCCAGCACCAGGGCCTGTCAGGGCCCGGTACCCGCAGGGGCCGACGTCTCGCCCACTGCTAGCTGAGCCACTGCTGAGGGCTCCACACTTTGGACCCGCAGGTCCCCACTACCGGGAGTGCTGCGGCTGGCCCTGCTACTGTAGAACTCGAGTACAAGCCATGTGAGTAGCTAGAAACGGGGGTGGTGCTGGCAGGTGGGCCTAGACGTCCGCTGGCGGTAGGCTATCCTGCTGGTGGTTCCGCTGGGGGCAGCCTAAGCTGCTGCCGGTGCACTAGCAGTAGCCTAAGCTGCTGCTCGAGCGCTGGGGCAGCCTAACCTGCTGCTACTGGTGCTGCTGGTGGCGGGTTTCAGCCCTTGAGGCGGAGGATTCAGGTCGTGGGGAGGGGGGGGGGGGGGGGGGCAGCTCTGACTGGTACAGGTGAGGCAGCGGGTGCGGTTCTGTGCGATTCTGTGCAGTTCAGTGCGGTTCTGCGTGGTTTTGTGTGGTGCTGTGCGGTTCTGCGGGGTGGAGAGTACCGGGTGGGGCGGCTGATTACGGGTGAGGTGTCTGGAACGGGTGGGGCAGCAGCTCTGGCTGGAACGGGTGGGGTAGCGGGTGCAGTTCTAAGCGGTTCTGTGCTACTGGCGGCCGTGTAATCTGCTAGTGCTACTGGCGGTGGGTGTGGTACTTCGTGAGGAGGCGGCTGTCAGGTGGGGCGGCTATTAAGGCAGCGGGCGATGGGTGGGGAAGGTAAGGCGGCTGTTCTATACGGTCCGGTACGGTTCTGTGCGGTTCTGCGGGATTTTGCACGGTTCTGTGCGGTTCTGCGCGGTTCTGCACGGTTCTGTGTGGTTCTGTGCAGTAGAGAGTACTGGGTTGGGCGGCTGATTCCGGATGAGGTGGCTGGAACGGGTGGGGAAATATGTTTCCAGGTGGGGCGGCAGTTTCAGGTCTGGGACAGTGGTTTGCAGTTCCTAGGGTGGCCGATTTCTGGGGTGGCGGCTGTTTTCTGCTCGTGGGGCGGCAGATCGCGGGTGAGGCGACGGCTAACAGGGTGGGCGGCGGGTAAGGCAGCGGGTGGGGCCGCATCTAACGGGTGAGGCGACGGTTACGACGGTGGGAAACGGGTGGGGGGACGGGTCACTGGTGCGCGTGGTTGCTTCTGTGCGTGCGTGCGACTAACGACGGGGCCGCGGGGCACGCTAGCGAAGGGGCCTCTAGGCCCACGAACGAAGGGCCGCGGGGCCCGCTAACGAAGGGCCGCGGGGCCCGCTAACGAAAGGCCGGAGGGCCCGTTAAGGAACAGTCGTGACAATTGACGGGCGACGGGGGAAAAAAAAAAAAAAAAACGGCCGCGATCGGCGGGGGGGAACGGGCGACGGGCGAATGGCGACGTGGGGGAGGGGGGTCTACGAGCGACGGGTCCTAAGGTAAGCGCTACGGGCAGTCTATGACGGGGCGCGACTAGGTGGGCCCATGATAGACGAGTGATTTTTGCAAAGGGGAAAATCTCGCTAGGGTGAACCTTGCTCTGATACCATGTCACAATGTAAAGGTTAACTAAAAAATAAAAAGTACAAACAAGATATATGCGAAACCTAACCCTTGTGCAAGTACAAAAAGAACACAAGGGAGAACACCTAGACTAGAACTACACAAGCTATAGAAATAAAGTTTGACACACCCCCATAGTCTAGGTGACGGTAGTCCTGTAGAAACAACAAGAGCAAGAGAAATATAGTTTGACACACAAGTGGCGCTGCTGGTCACAGGTGGGGCTGCTGGTCATAGGTGGGGCTGCTGGTCACAAGTGGGGCTGCTGGTCACGGGTGGGGCTGCTGGTCACAGGTGGGGCTGCTGGTCACGAGTGGGGCTGCTGGTCACAGGTGGGGCTGCTGGTCACGGGTGGGGCTGCTGGTCACAGGTGGAGCTGCTGGTCACAGGTGGGGCTGCTGGTCACGGGTGGGGCTGCTGGTCACAGGTGGGGCTGCTGGTCACGGGTGGGGCTGCTGGTCACAAGTAGGGCTGCTGGCCATGGGTGGGGCTGCTGGTCACATGTGCCTGGTGCTGGCGGCTGGCGCTGGTGCTGGTGCCTGGTGCTGGCGGCTGACGCAGGTGCTGGTGCCTGGTGCTGGCGGCTGGCGCTGGCGCTGGTGCCTGGTGCTGGCGGCTGGCGCTGGTGCTGGTGCCTGGTGCTGGCGGCTGGCGCTGGTGCCTGGTGCTGGTGGCTGGCGCTGGTGCTGGTGCCTGGTGCTGGCGGCTGGCGCTGGTGCTAGTGCCTAGTGCTTGCGGCTGGCGCTGGTGCTGGTGCCTGGTGCTGGCGCTGGTGCCTGGTGCTGGCTGCTTGCGCTGGTGCCTGGTGCTGGCGGCTGGCGCTGGAGCTGGTGCCTGGTGCTGGCGGTTGGCGCTGGCGCCTGGTGCTGGAGGCTGGCGCTGGTGCTGGTGCCTGGTGCTGGCGGCTGGCGCTGGTGCCTGGTGCTGGCGGCTGGCACTGGTGCTGGTGCCTGACGGCTGGCGCTGGTCCTGGTGGCTGGTGCTTGCATAACGGCGCTGGTGCCGGTGCTGGTGCTGGTGACTGGCTTCGGTGCTGGTGCTGTTTCCTGGTGCTGGTGGCTGGCATTCGTGCTGGTGCCTGGTGCTGGCGCTGGTGCCTGGTGCTGGCGGCTGGCGCTGGTGCCTGGTGCTGGCGGCTGGCGCTGGTGCTGGTGCCTGGTGCTGGCGGCTGGCACTGGTGCTGGTGCCTGGTGCTGGCTGTTCGCACTGGTGCCTGGTGCTGGCGACTGGCGCTGGTGTTGGTGCCTGGTGCTGGCGGCTAGCGCCGGTGCTGGTGCTGGTGCCTGGTGCTGGCAGCTGGCGCCGGTGCTGGTGCTGGTGTTCCGCCGCCACTCCCTTCCCCCTTTTCCTCTCTCCCCCACATCATTCCGCCGCCACTCCCTGTCAACGGGAGTTGGGTGTTGGCCCCGTCCTCGCTTCGGCGGAGCCGACATCGTGGTCGGGTGTGAGGGGAGCAGCCGACCTGCAGCAGTGGGCGAGCTGGTTGACGAGGAGGTCGACCTGCACGAGGACCACTGCACGGGCGCCGACTTCAGGGTGGCGCCAACTTCGGGGAGGTCGACTTGGGAGTCGACCTGCGGAGGACGTCAACTTGGTGACGTCAACTTGGGGAAGCCGACTTCGGTGGTCGGCTGACGGACTGCTGGTCGACCTGCGGGTGGTCGACTGGACCTGGTGGTCGATGAAGGAGGGGCTAACTTCGACCTCGACTCAGGACGCCGAGCAGTTGGGCGTCGAGTAGCGGGGCGTCAACTTTGTGACGCCAACTTCGGGTGGCCGACGTGGGTGGTCGGCCGACAAGGAGTGCTGGTCGACGAGGAGCAGGTCGACCAGGAGTGCTGGTCGACGTGGAGCTGGTCGACCAGAAGGGACGTTGACCTGGAGGAGGTCGAGCGAGGGGCGTGGTCATCCTAGTGAGGTCGACATGGAGGTGGTCGTCGACTTGGGAGGTCGACGGGCACGTACGGGAGCTGCTGGTCGACGTGGTTGCTCGGTCGACCAGGTTACCTGGGTGACGAAGTGCTGCGGAGGAGTGCGACGGTCGCCCAGGCAAGGTTGGCAAGCCCGACCTCGGTGGTGGTATCCGGAGGTCGTCGTGGCGGATCAGAAGCAGTCGTCAGCTCGAGGCTGACGTGGTGTGTGTGCTGTGCAGGTGACGAGACTCTGCACGCCAATCATCTACGCGCACGTGCAAAGCGGGTGCACTGCTGTTCTGCGCAAGCAACGCTGGCACGCCGTCAACCTGCGATGTTGGCACGCCGTCGACCTTGCACTGCTGGAGCGCGGTCGACCAAGTCGTGCTGGAACGCGGTCGACCAGGCTGCGCTGGCAGTTGGCCGACCTGAATGCTTGCTCTGATGTAGTCTTGCTATGCCAACTTCATTGTACCATTGTTCTGAACCTTTCCGAGTGGAACTCTTGCCAACTTTCCCCGTGAACTAGCATGTAGTGTGCACACAAGGAAAACGACTAAGGAACAGAGAACGCAGAGATCACACGAGCATGCGTGCCTAGCCCGTAGTCTAGCTCCCGTTGTAGCAGTTATCTCCGCATGGTGTGGTGAGCGTGGACCGAACACCGCGACGTAGTTCAGTCTAGCCGACTTTGCACATACCGATCGTGTTCGTAGACCGGCAGCCGTAGAGTCACTAGCGTGCGTGTAGGCGATGCCGAGGTGATGGACACCCTGGAGGGACGGGTGGAGGATGCGAGGAGACGCCATGAGGCCCAGGAGTATGGGGCGATACCCTGGGCAGTCGTCGAAGCCGGACTCCGCTCCGTGTGGGCGGCAGAGCACCCCCCTTCTCGACCTGCCTCTCCTCGACCGGTGAACAACGACGGCGGCGTCGACGTAGGCGTCTACGCCGGTGGAGGTCAGGTTGGCAGCAGTGCGGGAGGCACGTCGAGGCAGCGAGGTGTGATACACGACGGTGAAGTCGGCGGCGTTCAGGTGCGAGGGCTGCAGTCGTCGGCGGCTGCAGGCTCTTCGTAAGGTGACGTCGGAGGTCGACGGAGTGGGCTGTCGCCGATGTCGGTGTCCCAGGTGATGGCAGGTGGAATTGCGCCGAGCTACGGCTACTTCAAGTTTACGCCGGACAGGATCTCGGTCACCCCTCTGCTGGTCGGTCGACCCGACATTCTCACGTGGAAGGAAGCTATCAAGCCCCAACTGGAGATGGCCGGGCTGATGGGCTTCGCCTGAGGGACCGTGGCGACGCCGGGGGAGCACCATCCCGACCTGCGTGCGGAGTTTCGCGCCGTACAGTTGTTGACCTTCACGGTCATCTCGCGGTGCTTCTCGCCGGGCGTGCACATTGCCTTGAAGTGGTGCCGGGAGTACATCGACGCTGGCCACCGGGCGTGGCACTTCATTGAGTCGACGTACCAGGTCACCGACGACCTGTTCATCGCCCAGCTGGAGGGACAGCTGGTGCACCTGCGTTTGGGTGATGAGGAGACAGCGACTGACTACTACAACGGAGCCCGGCGAATTCTCGCCACTATCAGGATGGCCGGCGCGCAGTACTCCACGGCGTCGTACACAACCCATGTCATGCAGGGACTCTCTAGCAGCTACAACCTGCTGAAGCGGCTGTCCATGGCGCCGAGCACGAGGTCGACGCTCAACGAGGACAACTTGACCTCGTACATCCTGCAGGACGAAGCGATGCAGGAGGCCGAGCGGTCCCAGGAGCTCATGGCGCAGGCGAACTTTGTCGCCTCAGCAAAGCAAAGAGGCCGACCAGGGCAGCGCGGAAAGTCTGGCGGTGGTGGTAGCAGTGGCTGGAAGCCGGCCAAGGAGGTCGACAAGAAGAAGTCGACCAAGGACAGCGGTCGGGGAGGAGGAGGTCGACGTCGGGAGTGCTGGCTGTGCGGCGACCCCGACCATCTCTCCTTCAAGTGTCCCAACCGCAATGACTCCGACGACGACAACGCTAAGGGAGGCCGTGGGAGGTCTGGCAGCCGTCGTCCTCGTCGTGGAGGAAACCAGCCGCGCAAGGAGAAGCAGTCGACCAAGATATCGACTTCAGCGAAGGACGCCGACTCCACTGCAGGCGGCAAGGGGCGAGACGACAAGACGGCGTCGTGCTCGCTGGTCGGCGTCGTGGAGCCGACCATCTCTCTGGCGCCGGAGGCCGGAGAGGACTTCCAGGCGGTGGCAGCAGCTGTGCAGGCGAACCCGGCGGTGGTCCTGCTCGACAGCGGCTGCTCCCACCACCTGATGGGGACGAAGGAAGCCTTCGTCGACCTGCAGCCAACTGGCCCCATCAAGCACGTGCGCGACTTCAATGGGGCGCTGCAGGACGTCCAGGGCTGTGGCACCGTCGCCCTGCAAGGAGAGGCCGGGAAGCAGGTGCTCATCCCTGACGTGCTGTACGTCCCGAGGGTGCGGGCAGACTTGCTGTCGTCTGGCCAGCTGAAGGAGCATGGCGTGAAGCTGCTGGAGGACGGCGACGGGATGCTACTCGTCTCGGCAGTAGGGGAGGTGCTCGGTCGGGCAACATACTCCGGGCGTGTCCTCTGCACCGACCTGCGTCCCTGCTCAACAAGGTCGGCGTCGCCCACGACAGAGGTTGTGGCCCTGCGGGCGATCGTCTTGAAGACGAAGTCGACGCCGGACAGAATGCATGCTAGGCTCGCGCACGTCGGCATGGACACCATACGGAGTTCGGCGAAGAACGAGGTCGCCATTGGGCTGGACCTCAAGTCGGCAACGGGCGCCGATTCACCGTGTGTCTCGTGCGTCGGTGGGAAGCTGGCGCGGCACTCCTTCCCCGACAAAGGCTCCGACGCCGACGAAGTGCTGGCCGTCGTGCACATCGACTTGTGCGGGCCGTTCCGCGTGGCTGCGAAGGACGGCAGCTTGTACTTCTTGCTGCTGAAGGACCGCAAGACCCGCTACGTGTGGGTAAGGACATTCGCCAAGAAGTCGGATGTGCTGTTGGAGTTCCAGAAGTGGCTGGTGTAGGTGGAGAGACAGGTGAAGAATTCGGTGCTGATGCTGCGCTCAGACCGAGGAGGGGAGTGCCTCCGGAAGCATTTCACCGACTTCGTGGACGGCAAGGGGATCGTCCACGACCTGACCTGCCCATACACCCTGCAGCAGAATGGCATGGCGGAGCGGGAGATGAGGACGGTGGTGGAGTCGGTGCGGACAATGCTGCTGCACATGGGCGTGCAGCAACACTGGTGGCACCTCGCTCTCCGGCAGGCCGTCTGGGTCCGCAACTGCCTTGAGAGGTCGACGCTGCCGCCGGGGACGACGCCGCACCTGCTGCTAACCAGGCAGAAGCCCGACTTGTCGCTAGCGCGGGTGTTGGGCTGCATGGCCCAGTTCCTTGTCCCCGAGTAGCAGCGTGGTGGGAAGCTGAAGCCAAAGGCCAGGTGGGGCCTTCACCTTGGCGTGTCGGGGGAGAGCAAGGGCTGGGAGCTCCTCGACATCGACGCCAACCGGTTGGTCACCACGTCGGACGTGGTGTTCTACGAGGATATGTCGCTGGAGGTGTGGAAGTCGGAGCACAGGCCGGTGTTAGGTCGGACGCCTACTACCACGCCGACTGACACCTCGACGGCGACACTGCCTCTGCTCGCCGAGGTCGGTGAGCTTGCTGCTGAGGACGCCGAGGTCGTCCGTCCTCCTTCCCCTTCTCCTACGACCCCTGCCCCTCCCCCCGTGGCCGACTTGCTTGGGCTGGCCTCGACGTCGACCTCCGGTGATGAGGGGAGACGTGGGGCGTCACCTGTGGCGCCGGCCCCAAGCATCGCCGTTGGCCGACGTGATGCCGTGAAGCAGGTGGTGCAGCCGAATTTGGTGAGGCCGGTGAAGGAGACGCTGCCTGCAGAAAAGCAGCCGACAGGGGAGCAGGCAGCGGTGACGCCAACCAAGGAGCAGTCAGCGACCGGGTAGTCGGCAGGGGAGCCGACCACAGGGGAGAAGTCGGCTGGGACGACGACCACAGGGGAGCAGTTGGCTGGGACGCCGGCTGAGGAGCAGCAGGACGCCGAGGGCAGCGACGACAGCGACGATGGAGGGGACGCCGAGGAGGTCCAGCCAGGACCACGGCGTTCAGGCCGACTTCGGACGCCGCCTGACTTCTTCGTCCCCGCTGCCTTCACCACGGTGTACGACGTGGACGATGATGACGACGACCTGCTGTACGATGACGCCGAGGAGGATGAGGAGTTTCCAGAGCTCGAGCCCGACATGTTAGCCGACCCCGAGCACCGTTGGGACATCTCGACGATGACGGTGAAGGAGGCG